TTTTTTCTCCTAGAGCTAACTCTTGTTAGTTCACTGCACGTATTGGCTACTCATCTTAAGTTTCAGAATAATCAACACTATATATAAGCTTCTACTTCTTCGTGACCAAGATGAAGAGAGCCCCACTTATATTGGGTTTGGGCCGTAGTCTACCAAAGTATAAACCCACACATAATTGTGGATCCCGCCAGACTTTAAGTGCCAGAATGATGGGCAACGTTAATGATGATGACGATGGTAACACGGTTGGCAACCTCTTTCCTTGTGTGCTTTTCGTTGGCCAATAATAAGACACAAGCTGACATATAATTGAACGAAGAAAGAAGGTTGTGATGGACATGATGACCCTCACAATTCTCCAAAATACATGACGTTCCCAGAGTACATTATGAAATATGATGAAGCTTCCCATATGCCTCACTAAATAAGAAGGTCAAATGATGACTATGGTGCACTCGAGTGTAAAAAAGACCAAGTATTTCTTGCAACCACCAACGGAATAATGTTTTCATATGCTGCATTTTATCCCAGGACAAATATCCTTAAATTATAATCCCTCTCATTATTAATATAAGAACTAAATGGCTAATTAATTTTTTAGCCAAAAACATAACTGATTTATGAATATTTAAAAAATTAACTAAATTAATTATTTGTAACAAATATACAAAACACCATTTCTAATCATATACATCGTAAGTATCTTTTGATGAAAATTCCTTATTATATGCACTTAATAGAAATATTTTGAAAAGAAATTATAAATCTTTTTATATACACTGAAAACCACTGATTGTGGATCAAAGCTAGCATGTACATGCACAGATTGATCATTAGAATAGAGTTTCTCAAATGAAATTCATGCTGGTTTCACTTAAAACATGAGGGTTTTTTTTTTTAAAATATCCTTAACAACCAAGTGAAAACTTGTTAAAATAATGGGATTTGATTAAGGTGGCGGCGTTATCCTTGAATTGCGTGAATTTTGATTGGACTTCTAGTCAAGTTGGGGATTGTTGGAGTGTGGAATTTTGGCAATTTGCAGAGAATGAAGGGACTCCGGGGAAATGGATCAATGATATGAGAGCGGACTGGTTCCCGCTGGATTGTTCGAGTTCAAGCCCAAGGGCGCGCTTTTTTCCCCGCACGTGCTGCGTTTCGTTTGGTGATTTCCCTGTTCATTTGGTGCCACCTCTTATTCTTAGAATTTTTTAATATTTAATTTAGTCTTAAATATAAAATATCAATTCATTTATTTTTAATATATATTTATTTTACTTTCAAATAATCCCTATAATAGTCACATATCTGTATATATTAATAATAATTCAAACATACATAATTAAAGATTAATAAGAATATTTTAAAAAAGATAATATTTATTTATTATAAATAACTAATTTAATTAATTTTTTTAATCTTCTCAAATTAGTCAATCAGATTTTATATTAAGAATCAGAAGTAGTATATAAAAAAAATATAAAATTAAAAAATATACCAATTATAAAACTTCGTATTTAACTTTCGAAATATTTTTTTTTTTAATGACAGGTTGGTGACATCCTGTGTAAATAATGCAAACTTTAAGATTATTAATAGGAGATTATAAGGCTCGAGGTTACAAAGGAAAAAAAATTAAAATCTTAACTCTCTTAGACTTCATCAAATCTTTGTTTTTTTTTTAAACTTTTATCTTTTAACTAAGTTTTTTATATTAATTATTTGGATTTTTTTTCACCTTCCACTATTTGGGAAGTTTAAGATTTAAGGTTAAAGAGTATATAAAAAAATTAAGGTTAAACCATCGTATCATAGGGAAATGAATTTTTTGCCTCTATAATTGATTTTTAAATTTCAATCCTCATAATCTAATATGAACTTATTTTTTGAAATTATCTTTATATTAACATCATTATGTCATAACCTAAAGGTTAATAATTAATTCAATCAAGGAGATCCAATTCACATATAACTAAAACAACACTTTATTTGCCGTGAATACGCACGAAACATTCATATCAATATTTAAATTGATACACTAGCCCGTAAATAAATAAATAAATAACCGCGAAAAATAATAAAGCTTTTATACGATGGAAAAGATGAAATCAAATTTAAATAAAACATACAGGTATTATGAATTCGAAAAATTTAATGGCACAAATCTGTCTGCAATTTATGGGAGTGTGAGAGATATTAGTGATTTGGATTAATAATTGTTTGGGCCAGTACATATAGCCCACATATGTTATACAGCCAGCTGGGCTGAGCCCAAAACAGTGACTTCTCATACCCATTTTGATTTTGATTTTGGTATTTGTCATAAAAATATATTCATATCATATAATTTTTTTAAAAAAATATTTGTGCATTGCAACTGATGTTGTTTCAGATGAATATGTCAATACTAATAGGAATTTTGACATGTTCATTATTTAACAGCTTACATAGGACATTTTAAAGAATGATAATTTATATACCAAATATTAATATGTAAGTACTCCTATATCACTAATCTTTTTTCTTTCACCATATAAAAAAACTCAAAGAAAAGGTTACTTGAGATTATTACTTGTCAAGTTCGACAAAAGGTTCCTGACATGGCACTTGAACCCTTATTTCCTAGGTTTAGTGTGGACAAGGACAACTTTCAGAAAGATGTGTTGCTCTTGTCAGAAAGAAGTCTCCTTATTCAAATGTACAAGCTTAATTCTAATGGTATTCAGATTGATGAGAAAGCTAGCTCCCAAGAGGCAGTTGGTGCTGTGCAATTAGAGCTGGATGAAGTCCAAACTTGTATTCGTTCCTGGGCTTTTGGTACACCTTTAGACGAGGTGATTAATTACAGAAATGCCAACAAGAGAAAAAGCCTTGGTGGAGCTTTCTGGCATAGCCTTAAACATATCCTCCGAAAATCTAGTTCAAATAATGGCTGTCATGCAGTCTCTGAGAAGGTTACTTCGAGCAGCGAGAGTAAGCATGCACGACTTGTTGAATTTCTCAGATCGAGTGATGCAGTTAAACTAACATTACATGCCTCAACTGTAAAGTTATCTTCGTATCGAGCATGGCCAAATATGCATGACAGCCGATTTGCTCTTTATAAGCTCCGCATGCCAGTTCCCACAGTTGACCAAGAATACGCAGGTCTTTGGGGAGGTGCTGCTACGGAAGACCAAGCCAAATGTATGATGCAGTGTCTAGAGAGCTTCTATAAAGCTTCGAGTGAATTAGTTAGTAGAAGCAAATCTTCCATTTACTTCTCTCCTAGAGTCAATGCAACAACCAAAAATAAGATTAAAGGGATAACGCAGATGAAGGTAACCAATGATGTTGGTAGATATCTTGGCTTCCCTCTCACTAGAAAAAGAAAATTCACTGAGTCTTTTCTTTTCAGTATGTAGTTGACAAGGTAAGATCTAAATTATCTGCTTAGAAAGCAGATAGTTTATCTATGGCAGGGAGAATAATCCTTACAAAATCTGTCTTGAGTACTATACCTCTATATCCAATGCAAGTGGCTGGAATCCCTACAAAAATCTGCAATGAAATTGAGTGCTTATAGAGGAATTTCATTTGGGGTCATAAACAAGATAAAAATAGGTTTCCAACTTATAGGATGGGAGCAATTGACTCTTCCAAAGTCTCACGGTGGGCTGGATTTCAAAAATTTACCAGCACTTAATATGGCTTGTAGTGCTAAACTGGCTTGGCAGTTAATTACTGGAGAGACTGGGCTATGGACTGAAGTATTAGCGCATCGATATTTGCAGCTGGAGGACGAAAACCTCTTGTCGGTCAACAAAGGGGACTCGAAGATATGGAGATTCATTTGTTCAAGCAGTGATTTAATTGAAAAGGGCATTCGATGGCATGTAAGAGATGGGAAATCAGTAAAATTCTCTACTGATTATTGGCTACTACCGGACAAGACTATAAAGGAGTTGTGCAAAAGACCTCTCTCTATAGAGGAGGAAAATAGTGCGGTTGCATATTGGACTGTGCATAACTATTGGGATTTGCAGAAATTAAAACTATTATTGATGAAGATATCATTCAATGTTTAATTAGCATTTTACCTCCCCTTGAGGAGGCTGAAAGTGATTTCATTTCATGGAAAGCATCGAGTAACAGGGAATTTAGCCTCAAAAGCGCCTATTACCTCTGTAAAGAAAATCCAGAAGACATGTATCACCCAACTTACAAGCTTATATGGAGATGGAAAGGAGTTGAAAGAGTGAGAGTTTTCCTTTGGAAGGCTCTCAACAACAAATTGCCAACCAAAGTTTGGAGAAGTTGCTGGACCTTGCGAATCACCCAAATGCACCTACTGTAATTCAGGGGATGAGGAAACATTGCATATACGGAGGGACTGTGATTATGCCAAGCAGATATGGTTAAGTCTTATTGATAGTAAGTATATTGGCTCTTTCTTTACCTACTCCTTCAGAGATTGGTTCACGGTTAATTTGAGAAAGTTGGAAGGCAACCCTGAATCGGTTCATTGGTATCTTATGTGGGGTTTAGTTGTGTGGAATTTATGGCTGTGGCGGAACAAAGTAGAATTTGAGCCTGGTTTTATTCGGCCTCTCAATCCTGCTCAGTTCCTTAAGCATAAATGGAAGGATTACTGCTTTAACTGTCTGAATGAGGATAAAAAGGATAGTCAGGAAGAAGTGGCTGCGAACTGGACTTTACCCTCTACTGGATGGATCAAACTTAATGTAGATGGTGCAGCGATGGCATCTACATCACAAGCAGGGTGTGGTGGAGTCTTTCAAGACTCTGCAGGAATGTGGATAGCTGGGTTGTTGACTAAGCTTGGACGGTGCAGTGCTTATGAAGCAGAAGAATGGGCCTTATCTAAAGGTCTGCATATGGCATTGGATTTTGGATTTAAGAAGATTATTGTTGAATCAGATGCCAAGCAACTATTGGACAATCTGAGGCCTGAGACGAGACGTTTGCATGGTAGTCTAGTTCTCAACAAGATTAAGGACCTCCTTCACTTTACGTGGGAGGTTAAACTCACTTATATTCTTAGAACCTGCAATGGTGTGGTCGACTCTTTGGCTAAGAAAGGAATTGCGGAGACTGTCGTCTTTGAGCTGTGCCCTTTTGACCTTCAGGATTTGATGAAGAAAGATTTAGTGGGAGCTAGTCCCTAGTGTTTTTAATTTTGGTTTTGTAATTGGGCCTAGCCCTCTTCTGTTACCAAAAAAAAGGTGCGGCTTCTTCCTCCTGCAAGTACGGTAACACCAAATAGAGAAATGAAAAGGTCACACTCAGAGTTCGCCAAAAAGAAATGCTGATATGGAAGAATAAATCACATACCACCAAGGCATTGAACTCAATTTCCTCATCTATAATGCTAATGATGGCTGGGCCCTCAAGCAGTTCTTGTTCTCATATTTTGACGTTAGAAACTTCTAACATTGATGAGAAAAAAAACTTAATCTCACATGCTTTGCACTCATGTTGGACGCTAAACTCTTATAGTGATATGAAGGAAAATTATAAATTTCATATTAGGACTCCACAGGTGAGCACATTCAGGAAAAGCAAATTGGCAGAGGATGAGAATGGACATGATATTATTAGAGTTGAAACCGCAGATAGAATTATAGAATACAGAAAAGATCAACAAAGACAAGATCTCAAAACAATCCCTTGATGTGGCATTCTACCCTAAGAGAACTTCCAACATATAGAACACAAAGTTAAACCTGAGTAATAAAACAATGACCAAGTTGCATAGTTCAATGAATATACCCACTTACGTCATTAGCAATTAGCAATATCCCATTCTCGTCCTGTGCAAAGAAGAATAAAGTTCAATAGATTATGCTTTGAAAAAGGCATGTTTCTCCTGTAACTTCTGCAATAGAAAAACTGCTAGCAGCATATAGACAACAATTCTTGGGAAACGCTCAATTTCTTTTATAGAGAGAACAACTGTCACAAATAAGATTTAATGCGGCTGCTGTTGAAACAGTAGACAAGTTATTCAAAAACTTTCAAGTATAGATTATAGAAGCGTACCTTTACAACAACAAAAAGAAGTGGATCAGATGGTGTATAAATCATGTAGTGCGGAATATCCTGCAACCAAAGGACTACGAGTGAATAAGCCAAAAAACTGATAGCTTAGTTCTTAGCTCTAATAACTACTAATCTGGCCAAAGGTTGCTTCAATAAATTATTGACAAGTACATTACCACAAGCACATTAAATGAATCTTACTTATAACAAAGGCATGATTCTTATTGATAAAAGCAATGCATAAATCACGGATGATCAAAAAAACTCAGCACTCAGAGCAAACACATTAGACAAATCATAACAAGAGGCTAGTTGATCAGAAACCAAGAGAAGCCTTTGTATGGGTAACAACAAGCAGTGCCATGTTAGATGTGCATAAATTATTGCATGCATCTGCATGTTCATCTCATAAGTTTATTAATTCTTCCTGCTTCTAGAGGTGATAGTAACGCTCTTCTTAGAAAAACAAAATGCATAATGCTTTTAGAATACTGCTCTATATTGTGTTTACACTAGCACAAGAAAAAATTCCCAAAAAAAAAAAAAAGTTATCATGCATAACTATAACAGTTAAATATATCTAGATTCCGGAAAGGCAAGCAAGAGCAAGGCACCTTTGCCACCATGCTAAAGCAAAAATGAAACGTATTTGAGTAATTTAAGGTGGTCTAGTTTAGGTACCATATTGAGCCACACAATTTCAACACCTTCTGTTCACTTCTTTATCATCATCTGTGAAATAAACTCCCTGCATTGATTCTTAGCCAAACATCAAAATTAGCTCTGCAACAGATTGCCCCTTTAGCAGTAACTAATTAATCAAAGGGGAGATCATCATCATCAAGGCCTCAAGGAAAGACAAAACAGGCAATAACTTGATAACAGTTAAGAACGTATTAATTTAGTATGTTAAATGGATACTAATGGTGATGGGATAAATGAAAAGTGAGAGGCAATAATTAGCAATTACAGAGTTTATGGTCTCCTTATCAAAATCAGAAGCACAAAATACAACTTTTGTTTCTCGGTAATAAACTGAATATGGCTTTGTTTCTCCGACTCCTAAGATTATACAGAGATTAGACAAATATTAGGCGTCATTGCAGAAGTAATTTAGCGAAAAGGGCGTTGCCTGTGTGGATGTCAAATATGTCCTCTTTAGAGTTGCAAAAACCGCCACATGCTGTACAACAAAATTTGATGAAGACATAACAGAAATTTTTACTAATCAAATACACTAATTAATTTCATGGCTTTCTAGATGATGGTAATATACAAACATACCCGCTATAAACTAGATACGTGTTTATCTTAGCTAGTGCATAAGCTGCAGCAGGAAGAATAGATTCAACTTCCTCATCACTGACCTAAAAACACAGGAGCACAATATGAACTGTTATAAAATGGTTCACCAAGAAAAACGTTCTTTTCATAAAAGCCATGAAATATTTTATGTGAACGGGAGACTTCGAGATCAGTTAGGCCTTATAATATAAAGATTAATAGCACATGATAATTTCGGTGTCAGGCGCAAGTAGCATTCCGTGACAACAAATTATTGGGTTAACGGTACTGAATAATAGGAACATTTGTGCTTTTTAATATTTGACCAGGCCTGTTTGGCCAAAAAAAAAGACCAGGCCTGCGGTAAATTTCCACAGCCCATATTAGTAGGACGAACTGTTTGATAAGGCGTACAAGTCCTGAAATATCAGCTTGGAAATTTTTTTTTTTTTTTAACATGACATCTGTTACCGAGCTTGTTCATTCGTTTTAAATTCTTTTTTTTTAATGCATTGGCTTGTTTCAAGGGATGTATTTAAATTAAAAAATTAAAGAAAATCAAGTCTTAGTAAAGATTAAAAATGAAATTTGATTATAAATAATTTAATTATTACTATAACTCTTACATTAATGTTGATATTGATTAGATGGAAAAAAATAATAAATTAATCTTAAATGTATTCTTATAAGTTTAACATTTAAAATGTTTTGAATGATCTGAATAAGTATTAAAAAACAAAAAATAAGTTGCACAAACTCGAGAAATGTAAAAGATTGAAAGAGGAGGGAAAAAAGGGAAGCAGCATTATTTATAACATGTAAATTGTGTGACCCTCTTTTTTTTTTTAAAAAAAAAAAAACCAGCAGTAGTGTGACCCTCTACACATCTAATACATTATATTAATAATGATAGTATTAGTATTTAAAGATATAGCTAAGCATTTTTTTTTGTTAAAAAAAAAAGGAAATATAAGCTAGGCTCCGAAATGCAAATTTCTCTTGATAGCTCAACCTATCACTGGGCTTTGATCCAAAATGCAGTTGATGGGCTGGTATATCCGCGTCCCCCGAAACAGTTTATTGGGACACTAAAACAAACAAGGGGAAAGTGGCAGTTAGTGGGGTTATTTGTCATTATTGATCAGTGCGGATTTCTAATGGGCTTTTTATTTGGGCTCAGCCAACCCAACTCTGCTGTCTATCCAGTCAGTGTCTGTGGTTTTGCAGGCTACTACTTTTCAAGGAAAATGACATTAAAAAAATTAAAAATTATAATATTCTAATTCAAGTGCCTAAAAGATTAAAATCCCAAGAAAGGAAGTAGTTTCTGATATGGTATTTTATAAATATAGTCAAATGATTAAAATATCTTTGTATCAAATTTTTCTAAAAAAAATTATCAAACTTATCATCGCCAATACATTATTTGTTATTGGTTATTTAATATTTGTCATTATCAATTTACCACTTATTAATAAATAACTTGTCATTATTAATATTTTTTTTTTCATTTACTATTTAACACTTGTCATTGTCAATTCACTGCTTATTAATAAACTTTTTTATATAATTACATTTTTGTTATTTAACTATATTTACAAAATACTAGATTAGGTATCACTTCCTTTCGTGGGATTTTAATCTCTTAGGTACCAAAACTGAAATATTGCAACTTTCAACCTTTTCCTTTGGCATTTTTTCTAGTTTTTATTCATTGGACAAACAGACGTAAAATATCCACAAAATTCCTCTTTGTGACAGAATGCAACGCTATTAAATTTTTTCAACAAATCTAATTTGATATTGTAAATCAAATGGAGTTGAATCTAGTAGAAGGATTAATCTCTTAGAATGTAACAAACCACAATTCAAATTCTCACTGTGAAAGATATTCATATTAAGTTCCTGATAGTACATAAAAAAGAATTACTTTCAACAAGACCAATGTGTTTAACCCAAAAAAATAGTTAGGGGAGGGGAAGAATTTTGGTTTGTGAAGCTATTGGGTCATTATTTTATAAGGGATGGGCATTTATAGAAAAGATGCCCATCTTTTTTTTTTTTAATCCGCGAGACACTCGCGCAACAGCTCTGCGTAAAATATGTTATGTACAAGTCTATTGCGAGCGATTGACGTACGGAGAAAAGAAATACGAATAAAAATGGGGTTAAGTTTTCGAGTTTAAGATTTATATATAGAAAATATCGTTTTAGGAGAGATTTTTCCTAATAAGTGCCATCTCGGCTGAGATTTGTTCTTTTCAAGGTTAGATATAACAACTGATATACAGTCAACGAGTTCCACAAAGATCAACCACATATTAAAAGAACATAGTAAGTATTCATCTCCGGACCAGATTTTTTTGACGCTAGCACCGCCAAACCCGCCAAATAATTTCTTCATGCACTGCTGGTGGTATTCCTCGGCTCTGAAAAATTTCTTCGCCGGAAGAATCTCTGTTGCTATGTTCCCATTCACTTCCCTCTCTTTAGATTCTTTTGATTCTTTCGCTAAAGCAGCCTGCGCTTCATTGTAATAATATATCCCGGATCTATATTGTGTTTACCACTGCAATCAATATCAATAGTATAGCATTATAATTAATACAAAGTCAGGAGGTACAAAAAAATCAAATCCATAAAGAAAATCTAGGGAGATCCAATTATTAAAAAACAAAAAAAACA